ATCTTCATGTAGTGTAGGCCATCGAAAGTATTAAAAACGAAACGAAATACAGTTGCAATTTTTATCCGATTCAAAAATCCGTTTGAATACATCACCGTTACACCATAATGTCGGTTCGTGAAAATTGGACGGGAACTGCCGGACAAAATGGCCGCTCCTTGTAAACAAATAAAAGTATATAATACCAATGTTGTGGACCCTTTAGAAGTCACAATTTTTATCCGATTTTGATGAAACTTGAAATGTATGTTTATAACCGAATGATCTTGGTTTCTGTCCATATCAAGACTGTAACTTCCTTGATTATAGCCCCTGATTTTAAAAACCGTTTAAATATCACCATTAGACCATAATGAAGGCTGAATTTGAATTTCGGGAAAATCGAAACGAAATTCCTGACAAAATGGCCCCTCTTTGAACGCAAATTGTGTAAAAGTATGTAATACGAAGGTTGTGGGCCTTCTAGGGGTTACAATTTTTATCCGATTTTGATGAAACTTAAAATATATCTTTATATTGCAAAGATCTCAGTCCTTTCGATATTTGCGCATTTCAGACCACATCTTTCTGGATAATGGCCCCTACTACTTAGTACGAAAAATCGCTTTTGTTTTTAGCTTGTTCTATATCCATATCTTGCAAAATGTGGGCGTAGCTTGCCTTGCAACCGCTGGTTGCTTTCGATATTAAACCATTTCTGTATATTGAATTGGTTGGTGTAGTTTATTTTGAAAAAAAACCCTACACATTCCATACTTAATATTGTGAACTACAGCTTTTTTATAAATTAATTTATTTCAAAACATAATCTTTGCGTACCGACTAAGGTTTTCAGAGACTGGAAAGGAACGTTTTCTGCCTACGCACTATGACCTTGATTTGTTAAAGTAAAAGCACAGGTCCCATTCAATAAAGATAGCAATGGTATCAATAATCTGACCAACATAAGTCCACGCGTATGCTTATAATTCTTGCATACTAATACTTTATTATCAGAATTTACCAAAATATCACAGTTATCATAAGTTGTCTAGCATATATGGTCAGGTTTAATCGGATCCAGACAAGAGAACAGAGTAATCTGAATAAAGTAATTCAATGTTCTGAGGTAATTTTCCAGATCATTGACAAAAAGGGCAAATTAAATGGAGACACAACATCGCCCTGCATTAACTCTATTTTGACTGGAAACGATGAACGTGGAGCCTGATAATATATCACTGTAATATAAGAGCGGTGACATCTTTTAAGGTAAACAAATATCCATTCAGTTGGAGATCCTCTCCAGGAGAAAAGATCTCGGGATTTGTTTATGTAAACTGATTTTTTATGTAAGGTGATTGTGAAAAGCTTCTCATTCCGGCAAAAGATTTATTTGACATTTCTTTTTAAAACACGTTTCATGTTAACACTATTTGAGCGATAAAAGGTGTACCACGTGTAAAAGGGTTTATAGATACAAAATATTCCACTTTTCAGGGAGTGGGTAGTCTAATAAATGAACTGGGGAAAAACTGATCTATAGTGATAATCTCTACACTTACTTGGGGAAAAGCTGTCACGTGCTTAATGATGCCCGGAACTTGTGTAGTTAATCCGTTATTTCTGCGCGAGCAGCAGGTATAATAAACGCTTATTTGTGAAATTTTTAATTTAAACAAATTATATAGTCGGTGTGTGCGGTGTGTGACAAACGAGTTAAGATCATTAAATTGTGGAATCTAAAAGCGTGATTCAACACACGCTTCTACCATAATCTATGCATATTCAACGCTTTCTTCAAGTAGATTTAACCCTGTTTGACCCCCCCCCCCCGCGCCTTTGTCGGTGGAAAAGGACGATTAGACTGGCAAGGAACTGCGCCTAGACGTTCGAATGAGACGAAAAACCAAAGACCCGTGTACACGTTTACCTACACGCCATATTTTTACTTGTGGGCCATGGAGTTGTGCATGCCCGTCTTCATTTTCCCGCTCCATTTCAATTATTTAAAAGGCTATACATGGCTCTTTAAGTGTTAGCTCATGAAAAAAACCGATTAGGAACCAAATTTCACTGATCAACAATATTTATATTGTCATACAAACCCAAACTATTCTGAAATTCAGATTTCTTATAGACAATGTCAAGATAATATCATCAGACGCCTTTGCGTGTGACAGAGCATGTTGAAACACCGGTCTTATTAATCTCTCAAAGAGATGGTGAGGGAGATTGTGTTTAACGTTTACTCCATAGAAACTAGGTAATTTCGAGACTAACATTTCTTTATTTCAATAATTCGCTTGCGCGTAGAGGGTGTTTAGCAATTGGGAGTAAACCAGGGGACCCGGGGGAAACCCAAAAGGCTGAGTATGCGACCACACCACTGAACTCAATAGCAAACCTTATGAAATTAAGTGCACGCGTTAGACCAAAGTATGGCAAAACATGACCGATAATTAATCATTCTAGTTTTCGTTAGTAATTTGTTTTAAGTATAACATAAATTCACAATCTGAAGGACAAGGGGCAATGTCAATACACAACTTGATAACTTCTGATCATCAACTGCCGACATTCCATTACATCACTACTATACCAATGACGCCATGTCTTTATAAATAGTTTATGCAATCTATCTTTATTTCCTTCTTCTCGGTATGACTTCGCTTTGTCAAGTTTTATGACATTATTTAAATTTAGTTTGCTATGCATGTCTATAACATATTTCCTTGTTGGCTTTGCAATGCTTCGGACTTTATTGACAAAAGGCGTTCGATTCTTATAGAAGATTTGTAAGACCCTGCAAAACACCCCGAACGATCACTACCAAACACTACAGGTTGACTTTTTAGCCTCCTAAAAATCAATTACTATCCAGGTCACTGAGACATAAAGAGATTGATTGATGTAGTCCATAACCGGATCTCTCGAAATTGTCAGGTCTACAGTATTTACTCAAAGAGAGAGATGGGGGTTTAACGTCCACTCGACACAAACTAGGTATTTCGGGACTACCATATGGTTTAATTTTATTTCAATAATTCGCTTGTGCGTAGGGGTCTTTAGCAGTTGGAGGAAACCGGAGGACCCAGAGAAAGCCCACGAGGTTGGACAGGGGACCTTTCTCAATGTCACGTACAACCGGGGATTCGAAACCACGCCAGTTGACTCAATGACAGGCCTTGTGATACAGCGCGCACGTGAAACCTTTAGGCCATCTACCCCCCCCCCCTTACCAAGAGAGGATTGTGTAAAGAGAAGACGGGTATTCCCAGTAAATGTCGTTTTCTGCATATCCACTTCCTCAACCAGTTTCCAAAGGTTTATGTCATCTCTATATGTGTATAAATTAGTCATGAAAGACGTGACCGAAAATCTATACCCCCTCGCCACTATGAAATAAGCTCTTGTATAAAACCTTGATATGCGCAGACCCGTCCAAGATGCAAGAACTAAATCTTCCTATTGCGGTTTTCTGGCTTCAAATGTTATATAAATTATTATTATAGATATTTATTCACACGAAAAGCACATAAGCAACTCTCTAGACCATCGGCTGGTCGACTTATTGAATGGAATTTAATAATCCAATGTTAAAATGGATCATCCAGACTTTATATATCTGTAGCAATGGTGCTGGACAATCGAGATTATGTACACAGCGTCAAAACTTCAAACAACCATCATTTCGGTCAGATCTAAATATTAAGACCACCTGCAGATTTCGACAGAGATATACATAGGATTAGGGCACGTGATTGTTGGCGAGATTGTGGGTTAGGGTTAGCCCGGTTTACTTCTTGTAATCTTGAGGGAAATCTGCTGGTGGTCTTAATATTTAGACCTAACCAATAATTTCGCTCATAATAATTTAATGTCATTTGACTGAAATTTTTAATATATTCATTTTTCACTATCTATTTTTCAACTATTATAGCAAGAACGGTCAACTCTTTAAATTATACATTTTTTTTAAAATTATTCATATTAGATCACACTTATATGATTTTTCCGTTCTACGAATCTTATGAGACAGGGATAAAATAGAACCATTTGCAATGTTTATATTTATGTTAATCGCTCTGTTTGTCAGCAAGTTTCAAAACTAATTCTCTTTTTTGTCCAAAATACGAAAAGCAAATTAATATATTTATAACGGGAAATTATGTCTGTTCTCTGAAATGAAATTTAACGTCCTACTGTTTAGCTCCGACTGGGCTAATAAAACCGGGCATACACCATACAGTGTGCAATGTGGGAAATTTTGCCAGGACAGCCGCGCTATGGCCGCCTCTCATATCGAATTCCTTCTGCCAACGGATCTTTTACGTGCACTCCAATTTGTACACGTGTCTTGAGTTTTTTTGTTCCATCCGAACAACAACGGGATCTAACCTGCGACCCCTAGGCTAGCGAGCCAGCGCCGTACTCACCGAGCCACCGCCATGAATAGACATATCAATTTTGTAATAGTGTAACTAATTGAATGGGGTATAACACGTTCTAATTCATTAATATATTCAACGTACAATGAACTACTTTCAAGGACAATAATTACGCTATTCGAGTAAAACATGTTTAGGTCACGAGGAGGATGTAAACAATATTCACACTTCCGGTGTCTATCTATGTATAAACTAATATAATATGTTGTTTTGACACATACAGTGTAAATTTAGAAGATGGCATTTCGGAATGTGTATTCTAGGCTCATTATGGCATTTGACGGTCAACTCTGTGTAGAACCAGAAATATTTCCTATATAAACAGTAGGTAGATACTTGTCTGCGATATCACCTGGGTGGAAGCGGACGTAAAATACAACTAACAAACAAACACTTGTGGATATCTTAACATGAAAATGAACAATAACTGAAACAGAAATAATATATCTGTCAACCAGTACTTGTGTGAAGGATAATTCCATTTTCTTTTTCAATTAAATTTATAAGTTATGGTGTTACATTTCTGAATCTAAATCTGTGATAGCTTATTTTGAATTGTTCTCTTGGAGAATGGCTTTGCTACGACGAATTTTATATCTGGCTGTCTTTGAAGTTATTGTGTTCGATGTGGCATTATTTCAAGAACTGTTGTGTAACAAATGTAAGTGTGAGGTAAAAGGAGTTGAATACATAGTTGACTGTTCCGAACTTTCATTAAAGCAAATACCATCCAATATACCAGAAAATGCAACTTGTTTAATCCTTAAAGATAACTTGATTGAAAATATACCAGCTTACATATTTAACGGAACAAATCTGTCGTATCTGGATATTTCCAACAATCATATTAAAAGTCTTCACCGATTTTCTTTCCATGGACTGGGCACGCTGATGTCACTGGATCTTCACAATAATAATATAAACATGGAACCAAGTAATTACCCCGTTGGAGTTTTTCAAACTTTTGTAAAACTCCAAAATCTTGACATCTCCACAAACAAGGTCAATGTAGGATCTACTTTGATTTATCCAAGTGAAAGCTTTTCGGACTTGAAATCTCTTCAAACTTTGAAGATTGATGGTTTACCTTCGATTGAGATGGGTAGTGGCTTTTCGAATCTTGCTAAACTTAAAATTTTGAATTTTACTGGCCATTGTAAAACAGCAGTTATTCGAAATGATTCTTTTATCAACGTACCTGGTTTGGAACGCCTGGTGTTGAGTGGTTGTCAAATAAGACATATTGCTAGTTTTGCTTTCAGCATGCTTTATAAACTCCAATTTCTCGACCTTTCTTTCAACCGCAACCTAGGATTCGAGGCCGCAACGATGCCACTGGTTAACTTAAATAGTGCAGCCTTTCGGATACTTAATATAAGTGCTATTGTAGATACCTTTGCTATTGGTGTTGAAGTAACTGGCCTGCAAATGTCGAGAATAACCCATCTGAATATTACAGAACTTTATCTAGATCATAACAGGATTGAACTTTTTGATATGGTAGCTCCTTCAATGGTACCACCTACCCTGAAAGTACTAAGTATGGTGGATAATCGACCGACTTTTGGATTTTATTTGCTATCATTTAATGGAATGCATGGAATCGTTTGTCTTTACGCCAGTCATCAATACACTTCACATATACCAAGAATTGGCTCGCAAATAACAAATCATGGACACCAAATTAATAGCTTGCATGAAAACTGCCCTTACCTAACAGGTGATGATAATATTAAGAATGTCCAAACGGGAAACCCAAACCAGAACGAGGGTAACCGTTTTGAAAATTACAACCACATTTCCTTATTGCACTGGCTTTCTAAAAATGAAGAAGACAGGGACAATTTTGTCATCAAACTTCCTGAAAATATCCAATATATTAACATAAGCCACAGTAAACTTGGTTATCCTATTCCACGAATCAAGTTTGCCGAGAACAAAGTAAAAACGATAGATCTTTCGACAAATATTCTAAATAAATGGCACGGTCCAGTATTGGGTTCCGAAAATCTTGAATGGTTAAGTCTAACTAACAACTACTGCGACGAGATATATTTTGATTTTTTTCGTGGAATGATAAACCTTCATACTCTTCACATCGGCTCCAATTTTCTAGCTTTTGACTTCGAAATGGATGTAAATGGAAGTATCTTTCAACCACTTGGGAAACTGAATACACTGGATATATCTGATAATAAAATCACAGTTCTTCCACCGAAATTTCTAAATGCTCAGGTAAAACTAAAACATTTAGATTTATCGAACAATAAGATGAAGGAATGGGCGTTGGATGTTGATCATATGCATGATTTGGAATTGATCGATCTTAGCCACAACAGTTTTTCTACCCTACCTTCGTCTTTAAGACGATTTGGTGATATGCAACATAAAAGGGGGAAAGATCTGACGATCAACATGTTAGGGCAGACTCTACAATGTACATGTGAAAACGTTCGCTTCTTAAAATGGATAATGACTAACACAACGCAATTTGTCCGAAGAAATGAATATAAGTGTGAAGACATACAGGGGAAAATGATCTCTTTGGACAACCTGGAGCAAGTAGTGTTGAACTTAGAAAAACAATGCGCTTCGTGGACAGTGATGGTTGTCGTTTTAACCAGCAGCCTTTTAGTAGTTCTAACTGTACTAGTGATTGGTTTACTCTATAGATTCCGCTGGAAGCTTCGATATTTATATTATTTGACAAGAAGCAAATATCGGAGATATGTGGCTGTTAGTGGAGCAGCTGAAAATTCTTTCGAATTTAATGCTTTCGTTTCCTACGCGGACGAAGATCGGCGGATTGTCGTTACAGACATGATTGAAAAGCTTGAAAAACAACAAGGGATGCAACTCTGTATTCACCACCGTGATTTCTTGGTAGGGGAGGCTATTGCTGCTAATATATCCAACGCAGTGAGAAACAGTAAGAAAACTCTGATTCTGTTGACGAAGAATTTTCTGAAGAGTTATTGGTGCATCTATGAATTGAATATGGCTTTAATGGAAAGTATTAGCACTGGTAGAAATGTTGTAATTGTTATAATTTACGAATATATTCCCGTTAAAGATTTACCGTACGAGCTCGTTCAGCTCATGAGAAAGGATTCTTATGTAGAATATACTGATGATCCCGAGGGTAATATTGTTTTTTGGGACAGTCTAACAAAAGCTATTAATGCTGATTAAGATTTCACAAAGTCTGTTCTTTTGCAAAAGTACACACATTTTGATATGGCAATTTGGAGAGTTTATGGATGCTTGTATAATTTGCATTGTGTTGGTGTTCATGGTGGTGTTCAACACATAATATGGAAGTATTATACTGTCATCCCTGTCCGTCCGGACGTCAGCAATTTGTTTGTGGACAGTCTACAGGTCAAAATTTTTGACGAAATTTGAAATATAGGTCTATCGCCCAAAGCTATCGACTCCTTTCGATATTGACAGGTATCGGACTTCATGGATTATGAATTTTTAGTTTGTGGACACTCTAGAGGTCACAATTTGCATCTGATTTTGATGAAACTTGAAATGCATGTTTATAACCGAAAGATCTTGGTTCATTTCGATGTTCGCGCATATTGGATCGTAGCTTCCTGAATTGTACGAAAAATAGCACTTTTAGCTTGTGGTCCCTCTAGAGGTCATAATTATTATCTGATTTAAAAAAAATGTTCGAATATATCATTGTGATGTCGGTTAAGTTCGAATTTCTTGAAAATCGGACCAACACTGCCGGACAAAATGGCCTCCTCTCGTACGCAAATAGTGTAAAAAATATGGTATATCAAGGTTTGATCCGATTTCGATGAAACTTGGTCCCTTTTGATATTCGCACATATAGGTTCGTAACTTCCTGAATTATAGCCCTTGATTGTACGAAAAATCACGTTTTGACCTTGTGGACCCGCTAGAATTCACAATTTGTATTCAATATTAAGAAACCGTTTAAATAAATTACCGTTACACCTCAATGAAGGTTGAGTTTGAATATCGTAAAAATCTGTCCGAAACTACTGGACAAAATGGCCGCTCCTTGTACCTAAATAGTGTTACAGTATGTAATACCAATTTGTGGACACCCAAAGAGTCACAATTTTTATCCGATTTTGATGAAACTTGAAATGTATGTTTATAATTCAAGGATCTTAATTCCTTTCGATATTTGCGTATATCGGACCATAACTTCATGGATTATGGCCTATGATTGTATGAAAAGTCACGTTTTTAGCGTGTGGACCCTCTAGAGGTCACAATTTTTATCCGATTTTACAAAACGTTTAAATGTATCACTTAAACCCTACTGACGGTTGAGTGCGAATTTCGTGGAAATTGGACGGAAACTAGCGCCTGACAAAATGGTCGCTCCTTGTACGCAATAAGTGTAAAAAGTATATAATAGAAAGGTTGTGAACCCTCTAGAAGTCATAATTTTCATCAAATTTTGATGAAACTTAAAATATGTGTTTATGTCCCAAAAATTTCGGTTCGTTTCGCTATTTGCGCATATCAGACCGTAACTTCCTGGACTATGACCCCTGATTGTACGAAAAATCGCGTTTTTAGCTTGTGGATCCTATGGAGATCACCATTTTTATCCGATTTTAAAAACCGTTTAAGTAATATTACACCTTAAGAATGGCCGAGTTTGAATTTCGTAAAAATCGGATCGACACTGTCCGATGAAATCGCCGCTCCTTGTACTCAAATATTTGTAATACTAATTGATAATTTATGCGAAATTGTGCACGAGAGGACATGAATTATAATTTGATAAATACTTATGTTATATTTCTATTCTCCGTTGTCAGTATATTAGTTATGGTATGAGTTTATTTAAAACGCAAATTAAATTGTTTATGAAATATTGTGAGAATAACAGGAAAGTGGGGTCCGTGCTGATATGATACATGAATTGAACTATTGGTTAACAAACACATTTGGCATGGTCAGAAATGGAATGTGTCTGTTGACCAAGGCATGAAACACGTGGTCGGAAATTTACCATTTCATATTTGACATGAGTGACCAATCACATGATTAATTACATCATAATTAGCCAATAGAATAATTAATGGCTGTGAATCTGAGAGTATATAATTTATAGAATGTGCGTTCTAGGGTAGACAGCCATGTAGTTCTCGTAGGGAGAAGAAATAGGAATTTCCATCAGCAGACTCGCCGAGTTTGCATGAGAGCGGGTTAGAGAGAATGACTTTATTATGCTTGTAACTTTGTACCCTATATGTAGCAGTACTTATATAAAATGTAGAAACTAAATGTGGTATTGTTGTCACTGTGTGTAACCATAAACTGAATGAGTGGCAGAATAAATACACAATATTTAAAGTGGAGTCCTAAGAAGAAAAAAGGAAACAAACGCGGCCAGAGACAATACTAGACGATCATGGGCTGTTCCAGAATATGTAGTAAGAAACGATGCATGGGTTAAAGGCTACGCTAGATGTGGCGACCGGTTTTTCCGGTGTCCACTCTCCACGTCTGACAGACGACCCATGGTGCTACATAATGTAAAAATATATACAGTAGAACGAGCAGTCACTCTTATTCAACGACACCTCCTTGTAAGCGGTCAGGAAAAATTTCCCCCGTAGAAATTCTATCGCTTCATCTCTATAATCAATGGTCACTCCTCTAACGCGGCCAGCGGTCATTGTTTTAGTTATAATTTTAACAAAACATCGCTCATTCAACGGCCATTGTTGAATGATACTATCTTGTCGTACTCCCGTGGTTAATAGTTAATTATCTGCCCCCACCGATGAGGTAAAAAGAACTTTGAAAATAACAATAAACCCGGGATTATCTGTTAATTAATCTTTTTGTTTTATTAAATCTGCTGATCATTGTTTTCAGACGTAACGACAAACATTATTTGATACTGATTGAATAAACTTTAAGTGCCGACAAAGCCGAGTTTTGTCACGATCATCTAGGGGATTCTCGATTGTCAGACCGGAACGTTCCGAATTGACGAATCGCAATCGAGTGCCACGGAATTCAGTCCTATTGTAATTTCGTCAGTCCCACCGACGCAGGTGGCGTGGGTAGAATCGTGACGTAATTAAACACAACGAATATGTTTCAGCTGTCATGGTTGGTTGAGATATTTGCTCATGCAGTCGGCGCATGCGTTCTAGCCCGAATTCTCATTTCCAATTGATCGTCACTTTTTGGGGGTTTGACAGAATTCAATTCCGGAGAACGTTTAATCGAGCACCCCCTAGTATCTATTTTCCATTGCCACTTTGTTGCTAAACCGAAGTTTTAGCGCCTCCTATATTACATATAGAGTCACACCCCCTGAAAATCGGTGAAAAGTTTAGCGATGTTTATTTGGACATGTGCTTTTTTGATAAAGTAAAATTAATTCAAGGATCTTCTTTACAAACATTGGGTGCCCAACACAGTCAAAAATTTCTCCATTAAAAGTTGTACGCGTCACAGCAAATGTGCACACTTCAGTGGCTAGTTCCACACTGATTTCTGGCTAGTCATGCAGTGCGGGAATACTGGGCGGTATTGTCGTAGGTAGGTAGGTTTCTGGGGTTTTACGTCCACTTCCACCTAAGGTGATATCGTAGACAAGGCGGTATTGCCAGTCAATGATGCTCTAAATAGCCATCGCACGTGGAATTTTCAATACATCTATCGACTATTAAAGCCATAAAAATCTATTGTTAATGATTCTGAATAACAATAATATTTCTGATTCGTTTTACAGCAGCTTTGGAAAATTATGTTCGTTTTGTTTTTCAATTTGCCATATTATGAACTATACCGTTAGGAGCGGCATTTTTTTGTTTAGTAAAATTAATATCTCCGAAGCTCCTTCGTTAGGCAAGAATAGTATACTAGTAGTATCTTCCTTTTGTTTTTACAAGGTTCTCAAAATAATCGTTGAGATGCCTAACGTTCGTGTTTCTTAAGATTTATCGATCTAGCTTTCTGTAACGTTTCGTAGAAAATAGTCTTGATTATCCCGGCCTGTCAAACAGCCGGAGAACGGTCGGTAGACTGGTTAAGAGGGACTTTTTCATATCAAGGGCAGATAATCTGTTTTGCACTAAAAAAAAAATGCCCGGATTTAATGGCGGCAGCTTGACAACTTATTCAGTCTAATTTGTTAATTATTTGAAATGCTTATAACTTGTTAAATACAACACGACAGTTTATTTAGGGACTACAAATGTGAACTGGTAAGTTAAGACTTATTGGGAGATATTTATTTTTGGAGGGGCACCCTAGATATACAATATTTAATAACTGCAAACAACGTGTGTTTAGATGTTCAGAAATAGTTAATAATTGTGATTATCCATAATCCATATATATTATTAGTTGTAAATATACACGTGTATATATTTTAATACTATTAAATAAACAATGTATAATTAATGCATACATAGTTATATAATAGTATGTTGGTATTTGGTAGCTTTTAATTGGTAATAGGTTGTATTGTGTAGTATTTGCTAAACAATCCTGTTCATTCAGATATACTATAATAAATAGCTAATAAGTGTAAATGTAAAACATGAATTTAATAACGGTAGATATGATATTAAAGAAACAAGGCAGACAAAGAACAACTATACCTTTCAATAGACATGCCATTTATGTTTTTTTCATCTAAATTTTACAAGTTAAAACTTTTAAGTAGATTTGTCTGGACCTATAGAAAAACTAACCAAAAAAACTATGAAATATTGGCCGCAGAGGCTCTCACCCTCCGTTCTCAACTCTCCAGTTGACATCCCCTGCGAAACGGCGGGCGCCTCCCCGACTTCGATAAAATCACCCTAGCCCAAATTCCCATTTTCACTCGATTTTCACTTTTTGGGGGTTTGACAGAATTCAAACTGGTAATAATTTTGGTACTAAATCCTGGTGGAAATTGTTCAACTCATTTGTGAAAAATAAGGGTTCACACAGAGATTCTGTTCTTCCGTTAAGCGACAAAAACACCATACATTTCACCCCACAAGATAAGGCAAATTGCCTTAATGATTATTTTGATCGTTAGTCCATACTAGATGATACAAATCATACACTTCCTTCACTGAAATAAGCACAACCATCGATTGCTAACATTGTTTTATCTCCCAAAGAAGTTAAAGACCTGCTTGATTGTATTGATACTTCCATCCATACAAGGCTTCAGGACCGGATAAAATTAGTGCCAAACTTTTAAAAATAATTTCAGCACCGATTTCAATCTATCTCTCAAAAGCCTTAAATTCCCCTCAATATGGAAAGTTGCAAATGATTGAGCGCTTCACAAAAGAAGAAATACATCTGAATTTTGTAATTACCGACATATTTCGTTGCTACATGTATGTATTTTCTCAAAAATTTGTGTTTATAAGCACGTGCTTAACTTCTTTCCGGAAAACTCAACAGTAACAAAGTTTCAAAGCAGCTTTATGTGTAGAGATTCAACTATCTGTCAACTCATTGACATGAATTACTTCTGTCTGTCAGCAACTGATAAAAGCAGCCACACAAAAACGGTATTCTGTGACATCAGTAAGGGTTTTGACAGAGTCTGGCACGTTGGACTATGTCAGAAGCTCGACCTACTCCACTGGTCGAGAAGCTATCTATACAACAGACAACAAAAGGTGGTGCTGAGCAGTGTCTCCTCTGACCCAAGGGATGCGACTGCTTGTGTTGCACAGGGCTCCGTTCTCGCACCTTTACTTTTTTAAATATACATAAACGATATTATCGAAAACATAAGAGTCAAATATATACTTCACTGTATATATCAATCGAAGACCTGACCGAATGCGCTCGTGTTTTAAATTCAGGTATTGAGAGAATAAATGAATGGTGATACCCTCATGATTTTAGTTAAGACACAGAACTATTTACCTCACTTTTTTATGGGGTCGGTACAAATGAAAGGAGTAAACGAACATAAACATCTTGGTCTTTTCTTCCAGTCTAACGGCAAATGGGATTCGCGTGTAAATTCAATCAGTCAAAAAGTGTATAAAATCGTTAACTATTTTCGTTCATTGAAATACCGATTAAACAGAAAATCATTAAGAGCTATATCAATTTCATACTGCCACATTTTGATTGTAGGGATATTATATGGGACGGTTGCACAGATCACACCTGCACCTTGATGCACACCGCAGTATTGGCGGGGCTGTAAAAGGAACCAGCCATTCCGTTCTCTGTAGTGAAACGGGTTTCATTACCCTACGTGAAAAACACAGACGACATAAATTAATTTTGATGTACAAAATTTTAAATAATATAACGTCAAACTACCTCTCTCAGCTCTTATTCCATCTAGAACTGTTTCCTATAATCTTCGTAATAACAATATTCCTGAATTCTATTGCCGAACGTCTCTCTTCTATAATTTGTTATTTCCGTCTGCAGTCAGACTCTGGAATTCTTTACCCGATGCTGTCAAGCATTTAGTTCTTTCAAAAAATATCTCTCTAAATCCGATATCTCTCCAAACGATTTTTAACATGGCTCTAGAAAACATCGAATAATTTATTCAAAACTCCGCCATAATATGAGCGATTTAAACGGTCACAAATTTCTCCGACATATTCATCAAAATCCTTCTGGTTAGTTTGCATCTTGTATTTGGATGAACGACGGATAACAGAAATGAAATGGAGTTTAACGTCCTACACCTATACTGGGCTAATGAAGACGGGCATACACGATACAGTGTGCTTTGAGGGAAGATGTGTCCGGGCAGCGGCACTATGGCCTACTCTTATATCGTATTCCAACTGCCAAGGGTTCTTTTACGTGCACGACTAGACAGCTGTCCTTGTCAGGCCCTCCGTCCTGTACCACTGACAAGGCGAAAAATCCCGATGAACTTTCTAGGCAAATGCAGGGATCGAACACGCGGCCTCCAGGCTAGCGAACCATCGTCTTACTCACTCCCTATACAACAGAGAAACATAAAAAAATACTTCTTTCTGGATCTTCTGAACTTACCAATGCTACCAACTACTCCATATTTTCAATAGTTCATAATTTCATAGAAATTACAAAACGATTCTAATTGGTTTAGTATTGTTTTTTCTTTTATTTTTTTTTATTAATTTTTTTAAAATTTTACCCCCCCCCCCCCTTAAATTTAAGTATTATTATTATTGTTATTATCATTAGCCCAATTTGAATGCAACTGCAATTGATAGATTGAATGTAGTTATATTTATGTGTTATATTGTAAATAGTCTATTTCTAAATAGTCTTTTGTCTTATTTCTTTAC